AAAGGCGGCCTCCTGTTTACTCAGGTTTTACTCCTCTTTGCGGGCGTACTAACGGTTTGCAGCTTGCTTTTCCGCAGTGTGCAGTTAACTCGACCCTTCTGTCCGCTGGGGCAGAACACGCCTTTCCTGGCAGGGTGTTTTTTTCCCTCCCTTCGACTTTAAATTAGTTTAATGTCTCTGAAAAGAATTGGTGATGGCGTCATTTACATCACAGGAAAAGCAGCTCTCCTCAAATTCCTTATGCTCCCTGATAGGTCAGCTGTTTGTCCTCAAAAATACTAATAATTTTTAAAAAGCACCGCAGTGACAGCAGTGTTTTAGCTCAAGGCATTAAACAACACAAGTGTTTTCCATGAATGGGAAACAAAACAGTTTTCCATGAAAGGAAAACAAAACTGTGTTTTCCATGAAAGGCTGAGGCAGTCTGGACCACTGCTTCAGCTTAAAAGTGGAATTACTACTCGCCATCTACAGCCTCTTGAAGCCTTGTGCTTTTTTTGGGACAATTCACAAAAATCCTAAGCGTGCGTGCCGGTGTCTTCAAAAATATTTTTTGCCTAGAAGCTGGTGCAGTGAAGTCGGGGCGTCTTGTGTGGCAAAGTCGTTTTATGAACACAAACTGCCTGTGGTGGTGTAGTTTATTTCGGTGAACTGCTGGGCTAATGACAATTTAATTTACCTGTTGTGTTTGAGGCAGGAGAGGCCCTAGCCTGAGGATTAATTTAAAAAGGCAGAGCAGGAAGAGAAACAGGTATAGAAGACACACCTTGACTAAACAATATAGCAAGGCAGTGCCAGGGCTGGGTCTAGAGCTGTAGTCTCCGGATATTTTCACACTGTGCTGTCAGACTTGTGATGCAAGTCCGACTTCTGCTCTTGTGAGACCCTGCCTGGAATACTGTGTTCAGCTCTGGGGCCCCCAAGACAAGAAGGACATGGAGCTGCTGGAGCGGGTCCAGAGGAGGCCATGGAGATGATCTGAGGGCTGGAGCACCTCTGCTCTGGAGACAGACTGAGAGAGTTGGGGCTGTTCAGCCTGGAGAAGAGAAGGCTCCGGGGAGACCTTCCAGTACCTAAAGGGGCTACAGGAAAGCTGGAGAGGGGCTTTGGATAAGGGTGTGTAGTGACAGGACACGGGCAATGGCTTTAAACTGAAAGAGGGGAGATTTCGATGGGATCTAAGGAAGAAATTCTTCCCTCTGAGGGTGGTGAGGCACTGGCACAGGTTGCCCAGAGAAGCTGTGGCTGTCCCGTCCCTGGAAGTGTTCCAAGCCAGGTTGGATGAGGCTTTGGGCAACCTGGTGTAGTGGAAGGTGTCCCTGCCCATGGCAGAGGGGTTGGAACTGGATGATCTTTGAGGTCCCTTCCAACCCAAACCATTCCGTAATTCTATGCAGCCAGAGATCCCTGTGTCCTCTCGACAGGCGAGGGTGGCAGAAACCCACGAAATCCTCAGTAGTTGTTTGGGAGAGCAATAAGAGTTTCTCACAATTAAGAGTTGTGCTAGTTTGTTTTGTTTTGTTTTGTTTTCTCCGTTGTGAAGCCAAGCAGTGCAGGAGTTCTGAATGGCTTTTAGTTATGCAATGGCATTTCCAGAAGGCGTTCCCAAACCCACACCTTTTGGGATAGGTGGTTTGTTCAGGTCCCAGGGGTTCAATCTGCTCATGAAAGCACAGACAGGGGGGTGTCCGTGTGCCCTCACTTCTGACAGGTTTTGCTTCATGTTCCTTGGAGGGGGGAGTGTTGTAAAGAGTTTGACTTACCCACGAAACAAGCAAAGGGTCGGAGGTTTAACAAGTCAAGAGACCGAAGTTTTCCTGCTAAAGTGGGGTTTTTTTCCTGTTACAGGTGACGTACAAATGGCTCAGCTATACTCTGGGAGTTCACGTCAACCAGGCTAAACAGTAGGTATTAGTGCATCCCACAAAATTGTCGTTTTGTGGCAAAGCCTTGTTAATTGCTGCTTTCATGATCGTGGTTAGTCTGTTAAAATTATCTCTCTGGAAATATTTAAAGGTCTTGCATGTCCTCTCAGGTACAGTGGGTTCTGTTATTCAGCATGCCTTACTCCTCCTGTAGGCAGGTCATGCCTTGACTTGGATGGGAGTTGTGCTTCAGAGCTGGACACCTTGTACTGCTCCGTGTCATAAATGCTTAGGTCAGAACAGATGTTTTAGCATCACGTTACTGCAGAAGCAGATGTAGCTCCTTTCATCCTGAATGCAGATGGTTGGAACTGGATGATCTTTGAGGTCCCTTCCATCTCACTCTATGATTCTGTGTGTTTTCCGAACTTGGCTCCAGTCCCGCACGCATGCCTTTGTGAGAATCTGCCACTGCATTTCCCAGCGTAGGATGCCGTACGTTATCCATGGACATTGCTGGGAGCAGAGTCAGAGAAATGCGAAACAGCACTGATGGTATTTGCAGCTCGTGTGTTTGATCCACTCCGATCACCTTGCTGTGTAGTGCGTGACCCATTCTAAATACCTACTCACCGAGTTTGATGGACACAGGTGCATGTTGGATGAGCACTGGAAGCACTGGAACAGGTTTCCCAGAGAAGCTGTGGCTGCCCCATCCCTGGCAGTGTTCAAGGCCAGGTTGGATGAGGCTTTGAGCAACCTGGTGTAGTGGAAGGTGTCCCTGCCCATGGCAGGGGGGTTGGAACTAGATGATCTTTGAGGTCCCTTCCAACCCAAACCATTCCATGATTCTATAAGGAAGTCAGCTGTGCTGTCAGAGTGGTTTTGCTCCTCCAAATTTAGCAAAAATGTGTAACCTTGTCTTGGTGTATTCTGAAGAATAAAAATTACTGTAGCTTTTTAAATAGCCTATAAAACAAAGAATGGGCTCTCAAGGATTCCGGGGCAGTTGTTTCACAGCAAGGTAAAGTTAAGCATAAGATTTGAAGATTGTGTTAAGTGTGTCAAGTCCCATAATATAAATATTTTCTTTCCTTGTTTCTGGCTATCTTGGACCTAAAGGGGCGTTTGCTGCCTACTGAGCTGCAGCTTACTAAGCCCAGCTTCACCTGTCTTGTCCAAACGACTAGAATATCAACTCGGGCATCTAATGTAATGAAGAGATTGTTTGATCTCTTTTCTCTGCTTGTATACGAACAATTTACATGATGTGTAAATCTTAGTGTGCTTCAGTGATGGTGTAGACCTGACTGGAGAGCTCTGCTGGGAACACTCTGGTCATGCACTAAACTAGAAGGAGCCAGAGAACTTTTTGCTGTGAAGAAGACGGCCCAGGTGAAACGGAGGCACCTTCTCATACCCTTGAAAGCAACCTGGAGATGGAGAACTCCTGTGGCATCTTCGTGCTTAAAAACTCTCTCCTGATGACACAAGTGGATTGTGTTAGTGAGTTGTGCTGGCTGTGGCAGCGTACTAATTGCAGTCTGTCTCTAGCACTAACGATCTGCAAGTATCTTTACGAGATGGTGTCCTCCTGGAGCACGTGGTAGTCTCTCTGCCCAGTTATGTGGGACGCTCACCATAAATCAGTGCTGTAAGTGGGAGCTGAAAGCTTGAGTCTCAGCTCAATCTTGTCCTCCCTAATTATCCCCAGCACAAGAAGGACATGGAGCTGCTGGAGCGGGGCCAGAGGAGGCCACGGAGATGATGCGAGGGCTGGAGCACCTCTGCTCTGGAGACAGGCTGGGAGAGTTGGGGCTGTTCAGCCTGGAGAAGAGAAGGCTCCGGGGAGACCTTCCAGCACCTTCCTGTACCTAAAGGGGCTACAGGAAAGCTGGAGAGGGGCTTTGGACAAGGGCAAGTAGTGACAGGACACGGGGCAATGGCTTTAAACTGAAAGAGGGGAGATTTCGATGGGATCCAAGGAAGAAATTCTTCCCTCTGAGGGTGCTGAGGCACTGGCACAGGTTGCCCAGAGAAGCTGTGGCTGCTCCATCCCTGGAAGTGTTCAAGGCCAGGTTGGATGAGGCTTTGAGCAACCTGATGTAGTGGAGGGTGTCCCTGCACATGGCAGGGGGGTTGGAACTGGATGATCTTTGAGGTCCCTTCCAACCCAAACCATTCCGTTATTCTATGCTCTTTCTTCCTGTTTCTGATCCCCATGTCAGTGGATGCAACTGGTATCGTATATATACACCTGGCAACGTGATCACGTACCCAAAATCACCAGTTCTTCTGCCAGATGTTTCAGAATGCTGAGGTATAAGGAAGGAAGCCGTCTTCTTGAGGTGAGACTTTAGAACAAGCTGCCCAGAGGATGTGAAACCAGCTGCAACCAACCATTCAAACTTTGACAGCTTGTGTTTGTTACATGGTTGTTGGACTGAGATTCTGCAGAGTGGCAGAGGAGAAAGGTTCTCAGTAAGGTTAAGTTCATCCTGGTGAAAGTAACTGTGCTGATGCGAAATGTTTCCATGTCAGGCTGGCTTTGCTCTTTTTGTGTAAGCTTCATGGAAGGGGTGGTGTCAGGCTTTTTCCTTTCTGAGTGATTAACACTGGTTTCTTTTGTGCAGGATGCTGTACGATTACGTAGAGAGGAAACGAAAGGAGAATTCCGGAGCTCAGCTTCACGTCACCTACTTAGTAGCAGGAAACCTCATGCAGAATGGACACGTTGTGAGTGGTTTCTTTCTCAAAGGTGTCTGTGAGCTCTTTGTGCTTGTGTCTTTCGTCTCGTTTTGTGATCTTCCAGTCAAAAGCTGAACTTGCTCTCTTTTCCAGTAACAGGCACAGTGTGCCGGACCTTCTGGACTCGTACAAAACAAGGCATTAGGATTTAATAGCCAAACACTAAACATGTCTGTTCGTATCTTTAGATACCCAAATATCCCTTAAAATACAGTCCACAGGCTTCATTTAGAATTACTACGTCTCAAGGTGTCCTGGCTTTTACTTGTAGATGGAAAAAAAACCCAACAAACCTTTTTTTTTTGTTTTCTTAAATAATGAACTGGTTCACATGCATAAAATATTCTCTTTAAATCTCTGAATCTGCCTGGAATGGAAGGTGCTTGTTTGTTGCATTAGTTCTGTATAATGGAATGTATTTGTTTGGAGCTGTACAGGTGGTGTCACATTTATAGCCTGAGTTTGACAGGTGTTGCCCTAATTTCTTTTGGAAATAACAAGGTAGCATCTCTTGGCTGACAAGAACTGCCCAGAGGTTTGTTAAGGCATTCCATTATTTTTAAATTTCACAGAATGTTAGGGGATTGGAAGGGACTTGGAAGGATCATCTAGTCCTTTTTGCCGTAACGTATTTAAAACGAGTGAATCCTGACATGGGAACAAATAGTTGTTTTTTTTTTTTTTTTTTAAACTCTGTCTTAGCAGATTGGGTATTTTGAAAACAAGATCTACCAAGGTAAACATTTTATGTCACTTTTATTTCTTGTCACTTTTATTTCTTGTTTCTAAATATCTCAGTTTTTGAATTCTGCTATAGCAGTGCCTGGCAAGAAAGATGACATGGTAGGGGCAGAGCTGAAGCAATGCCAGGGTTAGGAATGCCACACAGGAGGAGTTTAAAGTTCCTCAGACCAGGTGTCTGAGGGCAAGCAGGAGCGGATCAGGTCTGATCTGGAAGATAACTTCCAGAAGATGTGCAGGCATTGGAGCAGCTGGTGGGTATTGTCTGGCACAAGTCAGTTTTGGGTGGGAGAGGGATGGGAGCGCTTCAGATGCAGCCCTGTGCCTGCTGGTAGCCCTGCACTGCTGTCTGCTGTCGGTAGGTGTAGCCACAAGGCTGTGGATTCGACTCATCCGAAGGGAGATATGGCTGGAAACGTGTCACGAAGAACTCTCGTCGTGTCTCAAGCACTGCACGCTCTTCATTTGCAACTTTTTTATCTGCCTCAGTGAGGGGCCGAGACTCTCAGTCTTCCTTTACCATTTCAGGTTGCCTACGTTTTCTTGCCCCTTACTCTTTTGTTGCCTAGTCTGTGGTGTCAGTTAAACCCAAAATTAATGGTTGGGTTTGCTCCAGCCTGTTTGGATACTCTCTATTAACCACAGCCTGTTAAATCTCGTAGAGCAGGTGTAGTCCCCGAAGACTGGCTGCAGAGCACGTTTCCAGAAACGTTCATTTCTGATTTTAAATTAATGCTTAATTTCTCATGGCGTTTTTCTTCTCTGGTGCTGTGTCTGTGCTACGGATTGCTACGTTAGAGCTTCCCAGCAACCTAAACACACATGGTGATGTGGGCTAGCAGGGCAGATTTCTAGCAGTTGGGTCAGTTGTTTAGTTCTAGTTTCATCTGTGTCTCGTCTCCCAGGGTCAGGAAAGGAGGACAGAGCATTTTTTAGGGTCATAGTGATCTGTGAAACAGTTTGTTAGAAAAGTAGGCAGACAGAGCTTTGATAACTAGTGGCTGGTGATGGTTTGAAGGCATCAGCAGAGTTCTTTGCAGCTATAAAGCTGCGCCTGTCATCTGTAGACTTTCTTATTCAACAGATAACCAAACATACCAGCTTTCTGTACAACAGATCTTTTCAAATTTTAACATTGCCATGTATTTGTTTTGTTGCAGTGCCACAAGGTTGCAGTAGTGAGAGAGGATAAACTCGAAGGTAAGCAGATCATGAAAATTATGTGGTTTGAACTTTTTTCTTTGGAAGAACAGCAAAGTGAGTAAAGCTCAGAACTTGCCACCTGCATGTAAATACCTGGTCCGGCTGTTGGTTTCAGGTGTGTACTTCCTGTACTAGCTTTTTCTCAGTCAGAATTTTGAATGTCTGAGCCAACAGCTGTGTAACTTCAGACTTGTGATTTGGGTCTGATTTTTGTTTTGTGTTGGTTTTTTTTTAATATTGAACATTTTAGTCAGTGATTCTTTTCCACCTCCCTAACACTAACAGACAGCTCCTCCTTATCGACAGCAATATCTGAGCAGTGCACAGCAACGTCTCACAGTGTTGTAGAACAATTGTGAGCCTTCAGGCTGAGGCAGATAATTCCAGTTATTGGTTAAATGCAATTGCAGTCTTTGTTTGCCCTGAGTGATGTCGGTATTAGTCAAATGTCCCATGAGAACGTTCTCACTTTTGCCTGAGGTATTTGCTTTCCCAGGAAAGGGTGAAAAAACCCACCACTGTAACACAGCTTCCTGAAACTGCTCTCCAAGCGCTGTCAGTCGTCTCTACCTTCTTTCCAGGTCTGGTCCTGCTAAATGATATCTGACCTGTAGCAATTGAAACACAACTGCAGGCTCTTCATCACTTTCAAATAACATCTTTGGCATTTGAGAGCGTACTATGACATTTATGACCTTAAATATCCACATTAATGATCTAACTTTGCTTGAAAGACTTGCCTTGTTTTCCTTTTGGGAATTTGAAGTGGATTTCTAGCTAAAGTTGTCTTCGTCAGGGCAGTAGATAGTAGTTGCACTGCTTGACAATCTGTCACGTTTGTTGAGTTATGTGCACTGCATAATGTTCTGTTTTGCTGTGGAGGAAAGGGCTGTTCATGTTTTTTGTATTAGAAGACAGGCCAAAGGTATGACTTTTATTTGGAAGAGGCTGAGATTTGTGATGGGAGTAGGGCTGCATAGTCTAGGACTGGCCCCAAGAAATGATTACTGTGTGTATTTTTACAGTGCCTAGAAGCTCTGTCTCAGACCAGGACTCTGTGGAAGGAACAATATAAGCAATGAACAAAGAATTCCTAAAAGCCAGCCCTTGTCTCAAGGGGGTTACAGTCTAAATAGCAGAGAAGAAGAGACAAAACATTTATTTCAGCAGACTGCTAGAGAAGACACTGTGACACCAGTTGATAGGGTGGATGGTGCCTTCACGGCACAGAGCAGTTCCAGCAGGGCAGAGTTATGACCGTCCCATTTTCTTCCCTAGGTTTAGGTAGTCATGTAGATATTCTGGATCCCAAACATAGGATATTTTGAAGGTAAACAAAGAGAGATTGCTCTTAATTCAGTGTGAGAGCCAAGTGTGTTTGGAAGAAATGTTTGACAGGCGTGTGGAGGCTGTTACCTCGAATTCTGAATTAGTGAGCATTGGAAGAGGAACAATTACACGTTTTTATATTCAGGTCCTTGCTGTCAAATGGTCTGTTAGTCTTTCTTCATCCTTGGTAGAACCTGGTACTTAAAGTTACCACCTGACTCTGTAACAGCTGTGCTAACAGAGGCCTTTTTTCCCTTTTTTCCCCCCAGCAATGAAGTCTAAACTAGCCACGGTTGCGAGCGTGCATGTGTACAGCATTCAGAAAGCCTTGCTCAAGGACAGCGGCCCGCTCTACAACACAGACTATGACATCATCAAAACAAACCTGCACAACTGCAGCAAGTGAGTTGAGTCTTAGTTTTCCTTCTTAAACTATGGGCTTTGAGACTGATGAGACGTTGCTACGTAGTGCACTTCAGCAGAAGTCACTGGTTACCAGATATGCCTGGATTTTTAGAAAGCTAGAAAAAGATACAGTCTAATTCATAGAATCATAGAATCACAAAATGGTTTGGGCTGGAAGGGACCTCAAAGATCATCCTCTTCCAACCCCCCTGCCATGGGCAGGGACACCTTCCGCTACACCAGGTTGCCCAAAGCCTCATCCAACCTGGCCTTGAACACTGCCAGGGATGGGGCAGCCACAGCTTCTCTGGGCAACCTGTGCCAGTGCCTCACCACCCAACACCCCCAAGTCCTTCTCCTCAGGCCTGCTCTCAATCAGTTCTCTGCCCAGCCAGTACTTGTGCTTGGGATTGCCCTGGCCCACGTACAGGATCTTGCCCTTGACCTTGTTGAACTTCATGAGGTTCTCACAGGCCCACCTCTTCAACCTGTCCAGGTCCCTCTGGATGGCATCCCTTCCCTCCAGCGTGTCCACAACACCACACAATTTGGTGTCATCTGCAAACTTGCTGAGGGTGCACTCAATCCCACTGTCCATGTCACCAACAAAGATGTTAAATAGCACTGGTCCCAGTACTGACCCCTGAGGAACACCACTCGTCACTGGCCTCCACTTGGACACTGAACCATTGACCACAACTCTGTGAGTGCGACCATCCAGCCAATTCCTTATCCACTGAGTGGTCCATCCATCAAATCCATGTCTTTCCAGTTTAGAGACATGGATGTCGTGTGGGACAGTATCAAATGGTTTGGATAAGTCCAGGTAGACGATGTCAGTTGCTCTTCCCCAATCCATCATGCCAGACCAGTCCCCAAACAGCACATTATGTGATTGTTTCATAAACCGAGCTATTTCCAACTTGATATTGGTTCACTTGCTCTGTTACTCCAGTGGGCAGACTGTTGCAGTACCTTTCTCCTCTGATGGCTAGAAACTTTCTTCTCATTTCCAGACTACACTGTATCAGGACCATTTGTATCCAGTTCTCAGTCACACAAGAAGAGTAAATTGAAACAGACTTATAAAAACATGAGTGATGTGCTCAGCAAAGTGCTAACATGAACTTGCCTTTTGCTTTGCAAGACTGTGTTTTTGTCCACTGGACTCATCCACCTCTCCGAAGATGTCTTGCAGGAGCTCATTCTTCACAGAGAAGATGAGAGCCTGAGGCATAGGGGAAGCTTACAAACCAGACCAAGAAGCACAAGGCAATGGCTTTACGCTGAAAGAGGGGAGATTTAGATTGGATATAAGGAAGAAATTTTTCACCCTGAGGGTGGTGAGGCACTGGCACAGGTTGCCCAGAGAAGTTGTGGCTGCCCCAACCCTGGAATTGTTCCAGGTCAGGTTGGATGAGGCTTTGGGCAACCTGGTGTAGTGGA